CCAGGAGGCAGAGTCGCAGTTTAACACACTTCTCTGCCCTTCTTTTTCAGCAGTTACCCACCCAAAACCCTACGCAGAGTCGCAGTCTAACACACTTCTCTGCTCCTCCATTTCAGGAGTTACTTAGTGAAAATCCTATAGTGACGGTGTCTGCCCCCCGACCATCGAAATTATTTTAAAAGGTAAACAGAAGAGGAGCTGTGCATAAAAACCTCATAAAAATTAAAACCACAAGAGCAATAGTGCAAACGAATAGGAGAGTTAAATGTGGACTCTTAAACATCAGATCTCTCTCTTCTAAAGGTGTACTAGTAAATGAACTAATATCAGATTATGATATTGATTTATTTGGTCTTACTGAAACCTGGCTGGGTGATGGAGAATATGTTAGCCTAAATGAATCCACCCCTCCCAGTCATATTAATACTCACATTCCTCGAGGCACAGGCCGAGGAGGTGGAGTTGCAGCTATCTTCGACTCTAGCCTACTAATCAGCTCTAAACCTAAACTAAACTATAAATCATTTGAAAGTCTTTCTTAGTCTTTCGCACCCAAGTTGGAAATCACTGCAACCAATTCTTTTTGTTATAGTGTACCGAGCACCTGGCCCGTATTCTGAATTCTTATCTGAATTTGCAGAGTTTTTGTCAACTTTAGTCCTTAAAACGGACAAAGTTATTATTGTAGGGGATTTTAATATTCATGTGGATGTTGAGAATGACAGCTTCAGTACTGCGTTTATCTCTTTGTTAGATTCCATCGGCTCACTGTTTTAACCACACCCTCGACCTTGTTTTGGTGTATGGTATTGAAATTGAACATTTAGTGGTGTTCCCACAGAATCCCTCTTTATCCGACCACTGTTTGATAACTTTTGAGTTTGTATTGCTGAACTACTCGCCATTGGGCAAAAATTTCTATACAAGATGTCTGTCTGATAGTGCTATAGCTAAATTCAAGGATGCGATTCCATCAGCTCTAAATACATTATCTAGTCACAAAGTAACGGAGGACTCCTATGCTAATTTCAGTCCCTCCCAAATCGATCATCTTGTTGATAGTGCTGCAGGCTCGCTGCGAATGACACTCGACTCTGTAGCCCCTCTAAAAAAGAAAATACTAAAACAAAGACGGTTAGCTCCATGGTATAATACTGAAACTCGCAAATTAAAGCAAATATCACGGAAACTTGAGAGGAATTGGTGTTCCACCAAAGTGGAAAATTCTCGTTTAATTTGGCAAGATAGTCTTAAAACTTATAGGAAGGCCCTCCGTAATGCCAGAGCAGCGTACTACTCGTCATTAATAGAGGAAAATAGGAACAACCCCAGGTTTCTTTTCAGCACTGTAGCCAGGCTGACAGAGAGTCACAGCTCTATTGAGACAAGTATTCCCATAGCTCTCAGTAGTTACGATTTCATGAGCTTCTTTAATGATAAAATTCTAGCTATTAGAGACAAAATTCACCAAGACCTGCCCTCAATTGGTACCGACTTATCTCTTAACTCATGAACCTTAGAAACAGCTGTAGAACCAGATACATGTTTAGACTGTTTTGCTTCCCTCAATCTTTACCAACTAACTTCAATAATTTCTTCATCTAAACCATCAACCTGCCTCTTAGACCCCATCCCGACTAGGCTGCTTAAAGATGTTTTACCCTTAGTCAGCACCTCTATACTAGATATGATCAATCTATCTTTATCAACAGGCTATGTACCACAGTACTTTAAAGTAGCTGTAATTAAACCTCTTCTGAAAAAGCCCAAACTTGATCCGGATGTTTTAGCCAACTATAGACCTATATCTAACCTTCCATTTCTCTCTAAGGTTCTGGAGAAAGCAGTTGCTAAACAGCTGTGTGACTTTCTAAAGAGCAATAGTTTATTTGAGGATTTTCAGTCAGGATTTAGAGCTCATCATAGCACAGAGACAGCACTGGTGAAAATTACTAATGACCTCCTTATTGCATCAGACAAAGGACTTGTCTCTGTACTGGTTTTATTAGATCTTAGTGCTGCATTTGATACCATTGACCATCAGATCCTATTGCAGAGACTGGAATATTTCATTGGCATTAAAGGAACCGCTCTAAGCTGGTTTAAGTCCTATTTATCAGATCGATTTCAGTTTGTACATGTTAACGATGAGTCCTCCATGCACGCCAAAGTTACTCATGGAGTTCCTGAAGGATCTGTCCTTGGACCAATCCTCTTCACTTTATATATGCTTCCTTTAGGCAATATTATCAGGAAACATTCCATAAGCTTTCATTGTTATGCAGATGATACTCAGTTATATCTATCGATCAAGCCAGATGAAACTCATCAGTTAGCTAAACTTCAAATGTGCCTTCAGGATGTTAAAACCTGGATGACCTGTAATTTTCTCAGCAACTCAGATAAAACTGAAGTTATTGCTCTGGGGCCTAAGCACCTCCGTGACGCATTATCTAAAGATATAGTTTCCCTGGATGGCATCGCCTTGGCCTCCAGCACCACTGTGAGGAATCTTGGAGTTATCTTTGATCAGGACATGTCGTTTAAGTCTCACATTAAGCAAATTTCAAGGACCGCCTTTTTTCACCTACGTAATATTGCGAAAATCAGGAACATCCTGTCTAAAAATGATGCAGAAAAACTAGTCCATGCATTTGTTACTTCTAGGCTGGATTACTGCAATTCCTTATTATCAGGCTGCTCGAAACAGTCCATTAAGACTCTTCAGCTGACCCAGAATGCTGCAGCACGTGTTCTGACAGGAACCAGGAAAAGAGATCACATTTCTCCTGTTTTAGCTTCTTTGCATTGGCTTCCAGTAAAATCCAGAATAGAATTTAAAATCATTCTTCTTACCTACAAAGTTCTTAATGGTCAGGCACCATCTTATCTTAAAGAGCTCATAGTACCTTACTACCCCACCAGAGCACTGCGCTCCCAGAATGCAGGGTTACTTGTGGTTCCTAGAGTCTCCAAAAGTAGACTAGGAGCCAGAGCGTTCAGCTATCAAGCTCCTCTCCTGTGGAACCAGGTTCCAGTTTGGGTTCAGGAGGCAGACACCATCTCCACATTTAAGAGTAGGCTTAAGACTTTCCTCTTTGATAAAGCTTATAGTTAGGGCTGGCTCAAGTAGTCCTGAACCATCCCTTAGTTATGCTGCTATAGGCCTAGACTGCTGGGGGATTCCCCATGATGCACTGAGCTCCTCTCTCCTCTACTTTCTCTCCCTCTGTATGCAACCTTATCCCATTATTGCATGTTACTAACACAACTTCTCCCCTTTCTGGTAGTCTTGTGCTTTCTCGTCTCTCTCCTCTCTCCTATCACTTCCTGCAGGTTTTCTGGCTCTGGAGCTGTGGAGTCTGGATCTGTGGTTGCGGGTCTCCTGCTGCCCCTGTGTTCCTGCTCGACACCTTCTGCTGCAACGACTATTGTTGCTAGTCTTATTGTTATTATTGTTATTATAATCATTAACATTACGATGGTTACCATTAACACTATTATAAATATCTGTACCATTTTTCATTTAGTCTATAGCAACATTACCTTTACTGTCTGTACCTCTGTGTGTATATTGTGTAGGCTGCCTCCCTCCCCTCTCTCTCTCCTTACATCCCTCTCTCTCTCTCTCTCTCTCTCTCTCTCTCTCACCCCAACCGGTCGAGGCAGATGGCCGCCCACCCTGAGCCATGGTTCTGCTCGAGGTTTCTGCCTCTTAAAAGGAAGTTCTTCCTTGCTTCTGTCGCCTAGTGCTTGCCCTTGGTGGGAACTGTTGGGCTTCTGTAAATATCATCACAGAGTATGGTCTAGACCTGCTCTTTTATGAAAAGCGCTGTGAGATAACTGTTGTTGTGATTTGGCGCTATATAAATAAAATTGAATTGAATTGAACTTTCTCACCCTCTCTCACATTTAGCGTTTCTCATCTCTCTCTGCTTAGCCTCAACCCCATACCTCCCCAGGTCTGCCGTTCTCTTTATCCCGACCCCTGGAGATGTGAATTACATCATGAGCTCAGTTGACAGTCTTTGCTTTGACTCCATCCCTGTCTTTTTACACTGCCATGGTGTGCTTTTTACTCTTAATGAGGCAGAACAGCATGCTGACAGACCGATCAGCCAGAGACCAAGAGGCAGAAGCAGTGGAAAGAGGAGGAGGGATGGGGAGCAGGAGAGGACAAGAGGAGGCGCAAAGCGGGAAGGGGGAGTGAGACGAATAAAGGAAGAATGAAACCTTCCAGTGCACAGGAAAAACAGAGATTAACAGATTAACAGAGATTCTGCAGGACTTTGCAAACTTCCCACCTGAACAATGAATTGTTAGTCGCAGGCGTTTGAGGGACATCATTACTGCATGGAGCACTACGCAATGAAGAGTTTCAGTGACTTCTGACCTATGCTTCTGACCTAATAGTCTCTCGAACGCTGAAGCTTAGATACGGCCAATGTCCAGCCAAGTCCCACATGTGGCTCATTATTCATCATTTGAGGTGAAGGCCACTGAGTAATGGGCCCCCACTTTGCTCTAACACAAGTAATCACACACCATACAAACACAGGCACAACATACACGCACACACACACTAGTAGAACAAGCACCTGTGGATTCTTGACATTTTCAAAGCAGCTGCCTGTGCTGCAACTAGAAAAAATTAATTGGTTCTTTCAACTAAAATGGCAGGTATAAAAGTAAAAGTCTAAAATTACAAACTACAGTTATTCTGTACATTTTAGTGTTAACAAGACAGAACACAAACCTATAAAGCCTTACAGCCACATTGTGGTGATGCCATAGATAAGTATAAACAAATTGAAGTCACTGTTAATGTAGTAATTGCTACACCCAAAGACACTGTATCTCCCTGTAGCAATGTTATTGTAATAAGAACATTAGGAGAATTTGGAGCGATACTGTAGGAGATAAATATAACCAGAGGTCACTTTAAACTCGGTCGATAGATCGACAAGTAATAATATTGCTGTATTTATTCGTTAGGTAACCTGGTTTGTCGCTGTCTCTGGTCCACTCAGTGCGCGCCAGTGAACCGTACTGATGAGGAGATCCTTGATTCTTCTCCATCGTTCCGGCAGCTCCTCTTCTCTTCTTTTATTGTCCTCTGTATGCTTCCAGATGCAGCGGCAGGGAAACGGCAAGGGAAACTACCGGGGAGGGTCTTGCAGTCAGAGTTTGCTGCTGTATTTCACTGAGTCATCGATAGTCAGTAACCAACCTGTAGAGGAACGGAGCACGAGGTGCTCCGGCGGGCCCCACCAGCAGGTAGGTACCGCTTCGTGTGCAGCGCGCAAGTCTCTCTCTCTGTGTGGACCACTGCTCACGCTGGTTAATTACAAACTAAATAACGTCATCTGGTGGCAATTCGATGCACTTACACCACGGCAGAGACCACTCCAATGTGCGTCTAAGCAGAACTGTTAAGAGCTACTTCCTTTGAGTCAGCGCATTATTTACGTCGTGGTTTATTCAGAAAAAAAAGTGCTGAGATTCAACCAGACATTTCCCACATTTATTATATACCACAAACACGTTTTTACAAAACAAAATCCTTCATTTACACAACCACATCTTGTTTTTAATGGCATCCTGTTTATAGTATATGACATTAGATGAAAAATGTGCAAAATTGATCACGTAATTTAAACTCATGATTTTTACCCAGCAGACACACACACACACACACACACACACACACACACACTCACATGGTTTTATGTTGTGCATCCAATAACACATCACTTCCATTTCTGGAGGAAGTTGACCTTTACTGCCTGAGATCACACCTGTGGGAGTGTAACATAAAGCTCTTGAGTGTGTAATCTAATAATTATGTGGAATCAAGTGAAGCACATATATACCATATTGCCAAAAGTTTTCCCCTCCGAATCATTGAATTCAGGTGTTCTAATCACTTCAATGGCCACAGGTGTATAAAATCAAGCACCTAGGCATGCAGACTGCTTCTACAATCATTTGTGAAAGAACGGGTCGCATGGTACCGTTATAGGTTGCCACCTGTGCAATAAGTCCATTTGTGAAATTTCCTCACTCCTAAATATTCCACGGTCAACTGTTTTATATATGTGTTATGTGCTATTATAACAAAGTGGAAGTGATTGGGAACAACAAAAAGTCAGCCACAAAGTGGTAGACCACATAATAACTTTGTGAAAACAATTTGGGGATGGCCTCTTCCTGTTCCAACATCACAAAGCAAGGTCCATAAAGACATGGATGAGCGAGTTTGGTGTGGAGAACTTGACTGGCCTGCACAGAGTCCTGACACCAACCCGATATAACACCTTTGGCATGAATTAGAGCAGAGACTGCGAGCCAGGGCTTCTCGTCCAACATCTGTGCCTGACCTCACAAATGCGCTTCTAGAAGAACGGTCAAATATTCCCATGAACACACTCCTAAACCTTTTGGACAGCCTTCCCAGAAGAGTTGAAGCTGTTATAACTGCAAAGGGTGGGCCAACTCCATATTAAACCCTATGGATTAAGAATGGAATGTCTATAACCTTCTTGTGCATGTAAAGGCAGGCGACCCAAAACTTTTGGCAATATAGTGTGTAAAAAGCAATGCCTTTATTCTTTTTCATGAATAACAACTGAACCAATTTGTTTTTTTATCTTGAACAGCCATCTGTAACTTAGAGGATATCATATATTTACGTCATTTAAAGTAACGACATAACACATATGTCATACATGCTTTATACACAGTTGTTCCACTCCTACAAGGAAATGGTAAAAGAAACCCTGTAGTTTTAGTGCAAATAGGTGCAGTTTAGCACATTTATCAATTCCTACTGTAACACACCACAGTGTCAGAGGTGACACTGATACACATGAGACATTTACTGGCATGTGTAAAGTTTCACTTTTGAATGTCCTCAGGTTTAGCACTTCGTCTTGCATGCAATACAGAATTTTGCATGTCTGGTTAGTAGACAGTGACTCTAAGGACAAAATTAGCACTCTGAAGTCTAAAAGCTTCTTTACGTGGCTCTGCCTGTGCACGATCCCCGTGTCTCTCTGATACAGTGAAACACAAAAGTTGCCCTCTGTTCTGTAGTACTTCCATGACGTTGCACGTTGCTGTAGCTCCTGCACTGAGCATAGTGTGGTTCTAGAAACTTTCCAGAACATTTCCAAACACTAAACCCATTGCAACTTCATAACAGCTTTCATTATGTAATAGTTTCGGAATGACCTGTTAGTCAGCTGTCATCGTACCAGTCTTTCAACAATCTGCACATTTCAAAAGCTGACAAGCCAGGTAAGTATGTATGTCTGCATTATTTTGTGTGAACTATGTTGACATATGTATGTATGTATGTGTGTGTTAAGGAAGCAGTTAAAGGTAGTGTATCTATGAAGTAGGAGGTGTTACAATCTACCCTTCAAATCAGATTTTCCAGATTACCTGTGGAGTTTCTATGACAATGTCACATGTTTAGTGATCCGGTTGTCAGTAGTCCTTAGTTAAACCTTTATATGTATACAGGTACACATCTTTGCTTACTTGTTTTCCATTGCTGGTCTCTCCACTGTCACAGGCAATTTGTTCTTTGGCATTATTCCAATCTGCACTTACTCACCTTAAAGTACTGTATGCGCAGTAGTTTACTCATGAAGACCCGACTGGTTATTCCATCGACTGCAAGATTTCACACTACAGTATGTGTTGCATTTGGTCTCAAGCCGAGTTTCAAATATAGTATTTTTTCCACACGTGCAAACTGAAACTTTTTCTCTCTCAGGAACACATCAGTATGACTCAAAGGTGATCCATTTTGTCTTTTCGTGTGTCAGAGTGGACCCCTTGTTTTCTAAGAGGCAACAACAACTCCCCCTATCAACACCTCAGTTCCCTAGTTTCTCTGCACTGTTACCCCATCTTGTCAGGTGATGATGCCAGCAAATGTGTTAATTGGTAGAGGGAGTCCTTTGCTCATGTATTTGCTCAGTCCAGCGTCTTTGTCTGCTCCCAAATTGAATTTGGACCGCATGGATTTCTGGACGAAGTATCCCGGATCAAGACATGGAGCGATCTCGATGCTACAACACAAACATGTTCAAAACAGAGCAGATCAGTTTGGATTGCACAGAAACTCGATCCAGATTCACTAAAACTGTGTGAAAAGGGCACATTTTTAGATCTGGACCCTCTAATTAGCTATTGTTACACTAAATTTGCAGACTTCTCTTGTTATAAAGAAAATAATCCTGAGAAAGTGATGGAAATCAAACTATGGCACAAACTAAACCCCAACAGAGCAATTTTAAATACAAATTGCAGGGTTCCCATCTAAACCCCACTATCGCTGGTAACTTGTATTCAAAAGAGGTCTTATTGGAGATCTCTTTGATCCGCTAGTGCTTTGATATCAATAATTGCTATCAATGATCTCTAACCAAAGAGCTTTATTCAGCAGTGCTAAAATGACATCACTTAATAGTACTGAGGCTAAACTCCCTTACCTCTGCACATTTCTGTAGGTCCGGCGACAATCTCTATCCAGCGTAAGAGTGAAAGATCGACTCTCCAAAGTGCGAATCTTAATGTTGCTGGTCCGGATCGTTGACTTGAATAAAAGGACCAAAGAGTTTATTGTAGTATAAACCATTTACATTAACACAAACAGCCTTTGTAAGGATACTTTGAGATATTTGAGCAATACCAGAGGTGTTTCCTGGACTCACCACAATGTTGTTTTTACTTTTTGTCAGAGTTTCATTCATTGTTAGTGTCAAACAGTTCAGATCTATGACACGAAGGCAGAGAGAAAAAGGGAGCATAAGAGCAACACACAATAATAAAACATAAAAAGAAAAGAAAACACAGCGGGCCTTGGAACAGTACGAAATACTGTACCTTCTGCTTCATTGGTGGGAATAGCGTTGATCTGAGCGCCTGATGTCCTGACTGAGATTCCTTTGTCAATGTCTCGGCCACTTAATGTCACCTGGACACACCCACAAGCAAAGCATGCAAGTGTCAGAGGTTATGTATTTACACAAAGGCTTCCCAAACACAAACAACACAATCCGACACAAAAATGTCTAGTAATTGATAAGGCTTTTGGCTACAGTGATATTCCCCCAGCAGTAATCTAATAAGGAAATAAATAAACACTTTACCTTTCTGTAATTCATTGAGACAACAGCTCCACATACTTCCCCTGAACTCTTCTTCTGTTTATCTGTTTGAGAGACAGGCCTGTTGTTAAACCTGTTTGTACATGCAAACATGCAAAGCTGTGCTCACAAAAACAACACATATCAAAGAAAACTGTGGAAAAATGATGGACAGGTATACCAAACTCACCTCTAACTGACGCTGAGATCTGTCTGAACTCAGGAAACTCCATTTCCAGATGGGTAAGAAACACATCTTCCACAGGATCCTTTGTCATGCTGGTGAACGTGATCTAATGAAAAACAAACAACTATTTAAAATCAAGACAGACTTGAAAAATGTGAATATTTTTATAAAGCTTGTTAAGCTAAGTAGACTCTTCCGATTGGAGAGTACACTGTGCTTTTAGTGCTCATAAACAAAAATGTACATGTAAAATGTATCATACTACCTTAACAAAGTAGACACTGAAGTAGACAGGCTGCTGGCCGGTACGAACGTAGTAGGAAATCACATCAGACACAAAGGGTTCTTTTGGCTTCCCAGGGTTCGCCTGTTGCTAGAGACGACAAAAGGCATGTGAAATGAATTCGCCTGCCTGCATGATGTTGGAACCACAAATTCATTTTTGTCACACTTTGGTCGTATCAAGTGAATAAAATGAGTCACTTAAAGGTCAACTGCTTGCCTATGTTCAACCCAGAGTCGCTTCAGTAACAGATGTTACTCTGCTGCAAGTCGACTTAAAGTTGGTGTGGTTTTGCCAAAAATGTAATTTTTTTTCGTAAAACCAAACAAGCTTTTCCATAATTCTCATAAAGAGAAGCCACTTAAAGCAATGAATTTTCCCTTGGACTGATATATAATTTATACATTATTACATTCAACTTCATTTATTTTCTATATGGTCCTTTGAGTATTTTCTTTTTTCAGTTTCATGGTTATTCTATTTCTGTGAGCTGTGGTTTCAGTGATATCAACATTTATTTTCCTCGCAGTGAAAGATGTTATGCAACTTCCTGTGTTTAAACCTTTGCAGAGAACTGTTGCCACGCTGACTAAATGGGATGCGGTAATGTGTAGACATTCTCGTAGATGTCTGTAAAGTTCAGAC